TGGAGAGCTTTATTTACCCAAAAGATGTTAGTAAAGCAACAGTAAATTCGTATTCGTAAAAAACAGTAAATAAAACTTTTAAGAGCAAAATGTTTTCAATAATAAAGACGTTGACACCGATACGAAGAAATGTTGTCCCCTATAACTTATTATCACTGAAACGGACCGAAGAAGGAAAGCATTCTATTTAAGTCAGTGTTAACCCATTTTGAGGCGATGGGCTTCATTAAAAGTTGATCAAGGGTTCAAGTGTCGGAATATTCAGAAAAAGTTTAATCTAAAAACCAAACTGCCAGCTTGTTAATTAAACCAACGGTAAAAAAGCAAAAATGGTTATGTCTGAATTATATTTACTCTTGGATAAAGCGCTCGTTAACTTGTTTTGGGATTGGATTCATGAGCTTAAATTGCATTAAAAAGCTGTTTACTTCGGCGTTAAGTCAATAAAATTATCAATAAACTTCAATGTGAATGACGGTTGAAGTAATTGCTTTAATTTTGTTATGAAAACTGATTGTAGCATTCGATATCTCATTTAAATAATGAAATATGATTGACTTAAGTGTTGTTAAGCCCGTCTCTCATTGTGTTACGGACATACGACTCTAGTCTCGGAGATTAGTCGCCGCGGAGTATTTTATTTCACATACATTTATAAGGAGAGATACGAACACTATGAAACCGATATTCGCGTTCGCAACTAGTCTCGCGATACCAGACATGCTGAGGCCCCAGCACGAGCAATGACAGATCCTTCATGGTGTCGTCATCGTCAAATTTTGAATGGAAGGAATCAGGTTGTTCTTACGACCGGTGCTGCTTAGATTTCATAGAAACTTTGACGGTGCGACAAGGTTTTGGAGCTGTCAAAATTCGTGCCTGGGCCTCTGCTCACGCACGTCGCGTCTTCTACTCGACTCGTTAAAATGGCGGCGGAGCATGAATTGTGTGCTTCAAATGACGATAACTGATGAGAATGACAAAATTTTCATAAGCTTAATAAGCGAACTAGTTCGACTCAAGTTATAGTACCTTGTCATTATTCCGTCGAATTAAAAATCAGTAGCACTATAGCAAGAGATTCACCCGTTAGACCAGCATGTATGAGTATGTGTAGTAAATTTTATTCAAAAAGTTCGTTTCGACTTCATTGATACAGTAAAAAAATAACAGAAGTTGCGTCACACAAATAGTTTTAGATACTATAAAATCTCTTGCGACGTAGACCATCATTAGGAAGATAAAAATTTTTCGATTATCAAACTGTCTGGAAACTATATTCGTCGACATGGGATGGGACAATGAAGCAATTCTCCAGTTTTGTTTATACAATTTTGTGGGGTTTACAAGTTTGCAACTTTTGCAAAGACCGGTCATGTGATGGGTGGTCTCTGATCTTGAGTTCTTTGCTTCAGATATCACGTTAAGCCTTTGGGTTCAAAGCTATTATCATCCATGTTCCCTAAATGGTAAATTATTACTTTGAAGACCTCCGTCGTGGAATGTACACCGGTTTTCAAAGTGTTGCTAACCTTGAGATCCTGGGTTCGGAACCCGTTAGAGTAAAATATTCCATTTTTATGTGAATCATGGCTGCTTATATATATAAGCAGCCATGATTCAAAGGTATACCTTCCTACAAAAAGATACTTACTTAATTATGAATCATTCATTATGTAATTGTATTATTCTTTACGCTACTTTCTTTGGGTCTTAGTTGATTGTTGTGAGCCTTATAAATATTTACATCTTCATGACAATCATCCGAGAAATAAATATCTGATGCGAGAACAATTTGGTGCGGTATGAATATAGGTGGATTGACGTCACTATAACGGAATTTCAGCATTCGTTTATCACAGTGATGTTGATCATAAATTACGAAGTAAAGAAGAACTCGAATACTGTTCAATAGAAGATAATCGTACTAGTTTCAATATAGAGATCGCTTTGAAATTCCACGTCCAGCAACAATTATTTTTCAATAACAAGGACATCATTTCCTTTCTCTTCTGCCAATTAATAAGAATCCGGAGAGGAAGTTATAGCCTCAAAATTTTCATACGCATGTTAATTTCTTCAAAAATTTATTCAAATACCCCAATTTACGTTACAGGAATTATGTTGAAAAGAGGTCTAAAAATAACAAAGCATGGTACATCCATTATAAAAGAACCAGTTAAAAACACGAGCTTTAAAGTTGGCAAACAGGAACAGGATTCTTTTACAATAATCAAATCCAACCATGACGTACTTATTTGTTTGCGAATAGCAACAAAAGTTTTTACGATTCCATTCCTGATGGCCAAACAATGACAGAAAAAGAACCGTCGTAAAATTATATTTAATGATCGTGAATTTTCACACGGTGGCCACAGATTTCTGTAATTTCATTTATTCGTCTGTATTCTCTTGACTCGGGCACAATAATGGTTTCATAGCCAACGTCATTGGTATCTCGTGTTGCAGTTAAAGCATTTAAATACGGTCTCTAAACAATAATCCGTTCAGATTTGAGTTCGGCTGTAAAATTGAATAACTAACAATAGAATGGTTTGGACTGCGAAAATTGATTCATGAGCTCTCCTGGTATAGTTTATGGAAAATTGATTCAAGATTGTAAAGTCATCTGGTTGTGTCATTTGCCGTATCAACAATGTCACTGGAGTAGTAAACTGACTATTATTGGAGTTAACAAAGTACTGCCACTAACATTGTTGAAGCCTATAAAATGAGCAATATAAATGTATTCCACATAAATAGTAAGGTAAACCTTTAGGTACTTCACTTCCTAGTAACATTACTAAAGTTTTATTTTAAGCGTATACATAAGTACTAAATTTCGAAATTTATAATTTTCTACCAAGGTATATACTTTTCTACATGTTAAGAGCTTTAAATCAGGGTATGCTTATCCAGTGCCAAATTTGTAGCGTGACAGAGATCGTAATAATGCGACAACTAAGATAATTACAGTATTACAATACCACAACACTTTATTGAAAAACAGAAAAGTATACAGAAAAAAAAAGTTTCAAAAGGCACGCTTATCGCTAAGCTAGTCGTCCCAACTGCAACGATACTAATAAGAGTGATATCATTAGCACAAACGAAACAAAATTATTTTGAAGTAAAAGCTACAGAATAAGTTCTGAAATTTCGTACTGTTTGAGAATATCATTAAGAAAATGACACACGAAAGAGGTGTCGTGTAGTTGATATGTCGATGGGTTTACTCAAACACAATGTAGACGATCTCGAAACACTATCCCGAGTACACGTAATTCGATTTGCGTGAACCTCGCCCTCGTCGGCCGGCGACGACGTGATGTGTCAAGCTCCCTAAGTGCTATAAAGCTTTTTTGTTTTATATGACTTGGATTCATATTGAGTACCTAATTTCAGATTTTTAATATTAAACTTAGCGGATAGATTTGTAGAAATTAGCTGTATTGATATGGTGAAACTTGCACTCTTGCTACTACAAACTTTTCGCTATATTCATATACGCTTTTAAAATCCATAAAACTATTAGAATGCCAAAGTCACTGTCAATCTAAATAAAACTAGTTTTTACGGGTTAATGCACGAAACTTTATTTATTTATTGACGTTTCGCAGCCTTTTCAGGTCTGCATCGTCAGAATAATTATTAAGGCTGCGAAACGTCAATAAATAAATAAAGTTTCGTGCATTAACCCGTAAAAACTAGTTTTATTTAATGAGTGATGTGCGTGAAAACCTAAGAAACAAATATCACTGTCAATCTGTTTCGCTTTCACGTTTGAATCGCCGAATATTTTTTTCTGATAACTGGTATACTTAGAAATAGAGAGGCTCTCGAAAAAGAACAGGGATTATAATATGGTAAACCAATTATTCCATGGAGACAATTTCGCGGGTATAATACGATCCAAACTTTATGGCGGCTGTAAAGTTTGCAAAGCGAGCGCAACTATTTCAGTTCGGAGAAACCCCACGCGCACCCACATTTCGTTAACTGCGCGGCGACTGGCGATAACTTCACAGCCAACATTAAGTTTGAATCGCACTATATCAGATGTTAAACAGTACTTCGAAAATTTGTTCCTACCTCTCATTTCCTTATACACAGAAACTATCGGATTTCTAAGGATTTCTATGATTTGTCTCTATCACCCGTTCAGAAATGGACAATGCTTAGATTAAGAAAATGCATATTATATGCACAATTTCTTCAATTTAGGATGGAGCAAGGGGCAATTAACAATAGAAAGGAACTCAAATCCTTAACACTGTATTAAATAAGTGGCAAACAATGAAAAAGAAAAAATCTTTGATTTGAAATGTTTCTTAAAAAGGCCACACAATTCCGGGCGGTTAGAACGAGGTGGTGTCACGCGTATTTAACTCGCAATTCAATAAGGGAGCCCAAATCACACGTGCTCAGAATATATACGAGTATTTTAGCAATATTGAAAAATGTATAACGATCATGAATGGCAAAACATAGATACTAAATTTCACAATTATTGTACCATCTGTGTTTGAATTCAATGATACAATTTCAAAGCGTTACAAAAAGGTAATGAAACATACAATCAAACAATAAAAATTTCACAAGGAATTCCATGGCAGCAAATCAATGCTAAATAAAATAATATTTTAAAGTTTTCAGAGATTCTTGCGTTTTTTTTACGGGGCGTATTCAAGTATCTTGTCATTTTTATTCATAGCACGCAGCCTCATGGAAATATCAACGCACCGAAAGCATTTTTTGAAGGAACAGTTGTACTTACTTATAATCTGTACCAGAAACTTTTAAAATCCAAAAGAGGCGCTTGAAGAGCTAAGTACCACTCTAGAGCAGTAACATTGATTCTATCACTTATTATAAAAAGTTCGTATAGTTTAATTATATCTAAAATAACGGTGTTATGTGGTTCCAAAATAAAGAATAATATAGACTGTGCTGAAATTCAAAATATGCACAGACATAAAAAAAAAAAAAAAGTGACGTACCACGAGTGCGTGTCGCACCCGTCTTTCCGCCGCGGCGTATGGCTCCCTATTATGCTGCAGGAGGCGACCTGGAACGAGGAAAAAAACAATATTAATCGTACAAACAGGGAAACTGTTACACGGCAGCACTTAGCAATTCGAGTGCCATAAATTATGGAGAACCAATTATGTTCCGTACAAGCATAAAATACAACTCGATAAAATTAAGGAAGAACGTGTGTCGGCACTAACATTTCCGCGTTCCAAACAGTAAGTCCATTAGGCCACCAATGAGTAATTTACGAAGCTTAAATTGTCTGCATTCAGAGTAGATCGAAATCGCACAGGATGCAGTTCGCAGTAGTAGCGTCGTTTAACTGGAATCCGAGTACCTACTACGGTTCGGAGCCATTCGCCTTAGACTGAGGGTTTAGTTGGCTCGGTTCTATTTAGGGCACGCTGTGCCGGCTTACGTGTACGTGTTGTGCGGATTAATTATTGCGTTGCCGGGACTGCGGTCGGGTATTTTAAGTCCCTACTATAAATTGAAGGAAAGGCATTGCATTAGGCAAAATAGGTGAAGGGGTTAGCGTACGTAAACAAGCGCGACAATACTATAGTTAGAATAAGATTTTTAAATAAACAACGCGACAATGCTACAGCTAGGAGTAATTTTTTTTTATAAACAAATTAAATTATAGATGTAGGCTTTGAGTTTGAATAAACATCTTTAATCTCTAAATTCCCACGCTAATTTCAAAGGTTGATTTATCAGGCAATTTTATCAACACAAGACTACTTGTCTGACCTCGAAACGTTGGAGGAGTCTGCCGTCGAACTTATTTTAACAACCCTAAGAACTCAATATCTTGGGAGTAGAGTACACAATGAGAGAGGACTGAGGGCCCAAGGAGGAAGGACAAATAACCAATTAAGGTCAGTCTTTGGTTGGGGTGGCCGTGCAAATATTGGCGAAGCGTCTTACTGTGACGTATTAGTAAGGTACATATTATTAACCTTGGGTGCACTATTTTTACTGTTGATCACAAGTTGCCGATTCAGACAGTCTTTAATAGCTATATAAAGCTCATTTTTAAGAGATTTGTAAGTAAACACAAGCGTCAATACTTCTATGAACAGCCAAGAGTACGTTTAGATAATATTTAAGGACAAATTTTGCTTACTTGTGTATTATTGATGTTTTTTAAACACTCAATTTAGCACTATCGTAAATTTAAGTAAAATTATAATTGCACAGCCGCAGGTAAATGGTGCTAACTGCACAGGGTACTGTGATATAATGACAAGTATGACACTTGAGATAGTAAGTAACCTTCCTACTGTTCTATAAACAAAACCTTAAATAAATAAGATAGCGTATATCATTTGTGATGATGGTGTGCACGTCACGGCTATCGCAATACGACAAATCTCATATAAACATTATGCTAAAAAATATAGCAGTAAAATTATTATCATATCAGCAACATGACCATTTGCAGCAAATTAGTAATTTATACGAGATTAACATTCACTGTTAGTAATAATATGTAATCTTATTTGTTCACTGTACTGTATTACATCGATTTCAAGGCAAATTGCATTATAATAACCCATTTTAAAATAAACCGTGTGAAAAATAAAACTTAAACAGTTGACTTCGGACGTGGTTATCGCCTGCACACTATAGCACGCCACAGCGTGATGTTTTTTTACATTACGTAAAACTACTAACAGTGATGTCGTAACAGTGTGACCGAAAATGTTATTGAACTCAGCCTACTGTTCTTGATCAAAATAATACGCTGTACAGAAATTTGCAGAATTTTAGCTAGCCTACCTAGATGATGTCATTATTTACTCCAGACATCAGGTCGTAAAGACGCGATAGCCGCATAGGCGTGCTTTTCGCTTGATGCGACATTAAACAATTGTTAAAGTTTAAAAATTAGTACGTTTTATCGTAAAATGCTTAAATTTAAGTACGAGACAAACAAAGAACAATTAATTTTAAGGATCGTTATAATCTATGAAGAAAATGTTACATTATTCAGGATTAGTTTTGAATGGTCTCGTGTTATAAAATTTTACGGACGTAGTGACTAGCGACGAGAAGCCCGCGTGTGAAGGGAATGATTCATACACACGACAATTCTATATTACAATTGTGACTTATTGTGATGACTTCATTGTGCCGCAGTTCGAATGAGTATAGTGATTTAAAAATAACACCAGTCGCAATTTGTTTTAATGTCCTCTTTTTATAATTATTGAAAAGGTACCAAAAAGATATTGTAGGTTTGATTCAAAATAATATTTTTGCTTGAAACTTACCAAGTTTATTATAAAAAACATGTTTTAAGTAAAATTATTAGCCATTGTGAAGTACAATGTGTTAATTCGGTTGTGTAAATTGGCCCTGCCAAGATTAAGTCACAAACGATTGGCGTGGCCTGTAAAGAATTTTGTAGACGTGAATCAGTATGCAATGGCGAACGTCAGCAAATAAGGATCGATGATGTCATTATAACGTCACCGTATATAGATAAGAAAGCATATATGGTTAACTAACTGTTCATACAATATCAAAAAGTAATCACACAGCTCTAAACTTTGCCTTATCCACAAATACTTATAGAGAGCAAAATATAATTTGATAAGCGTACATTTAAATAATGGGTCGTAAGTGATCACTCTCTGACCTTTTCGACAAATAGACGAGATACGATCGATGTTGAAGACGAATTCGGGTGAGTCAGATCTCAAGAACCGCCCTTGTTGGCTCGATGTATAATCATTATGTGTCTAGACTCGCGGCGACGTCCAGGCGACGTCTATGGAAATATAACGATACTGAAACATATTTACTGGCATCACTATACGTGTAAGAGCGCTTTCAGGACAGACAATTATTGAGCCCAATATGTGATGCCTCATGGGTGATTATGTTTCAAGCAACGACATACCTGAAGATATCCCGAGCGCACTAGCAAGGCAAGAAAACACACAGGACGGAAAACACGAAGAGTTGATGTTCCCGGAAAATCTTCTTATCTCCATATCACTTTAAGGGGCAACAAATTGTTCTAGAAAACGGCGCTCCTCACTCATCGCTAAAAGCGACTTTTGGATTCCTTTCAGGCATCGAATTTGTCACCAAATATATCAGGCACTTGACTCATAATTGATTGTGAATTTTTGCGCGGCACCAAGGGGGCACACATTATAAGAAATAGTAACGGAGACACGTGCTTTCGAGGCAGAGAGGGACGGATTCACTGAACGTCCTTGGCGAGGGGGCGCGCGGGGCGCCTGCGGCATCAGACGTTTCAATCATCCCCGGGGGGAGCGGGACGCGTATATATGTGTGTCGGGCGAGTGCGAGGGAGAGGGCGGATGCCGTGCTATTGACCGGCCCGTAGACCACGCCCACCCGGGCGAGACACGAGCGCGCTGATGCTCCAAGTGAAAATCGAACGTCGGCCCGGGCAGACGCGGCGGGAGGCCGGCTCAGTTGCACCATCAAGGTTATCCCTACGTACTTACTACTTATGCACTTTCCGTACACATAGTACCACAATATTCCTAATAAGTAACATTCAGCTGATATCATGCATACATTTATATCAAAGAAACATCTAAAGATCCTCTAATCATATATTTGATTTGAAAATCTATACACTGGATGGCGTTTTCGGTTCGATATGTACGGTCTTGGCAGGGAAACTATGTAGGTTGCCCGCCAGAAAAGGACTTCGGTGGGAATGAAAGAGACGAGACCAAGGAATAAACGGAATGAATGTTACGACACTCGACAAAGAATTTATTATTTTTTTAATTAAAAGCACTTTCATTGATTGGTAGAGAAAATTGCTTTGAATTTTGTAGGAAATGATAATATCTAGTGGTTACGTATGGTAATTTAGTTTAATGCCATTTTCTTGTATGACGTCACTACTAAATCTTCAAAGAATTACGTATTTAATTTTAAAAGATAACTTCTGTTTATGTTGTCATTTTAAGATTTTGCAAAATGTACTTCTTGAGACTCCAATCATTTCGTTACATACTACAATGTGTAAAAGTGTGGATTCAATCCACTTAGCCACTGTGAAAGTTATATAAGAGTCGCTTGAGAACTGTTATGCGATCAAGGTTTTATACTATTATAGGATATTATTATGACTGTTCGATGTTTAAATATACTAATAATACATTGTTGTTCTGCTATTTCTGGAAGAGAAAGGTTTTATTAAAGATAGAGATATCAAAATCAATTATGGTTATAAAATAAATATAGAGTTTAGATATGACTGGATTCGATAAAAACTAAGTGTTTGATACATTTCATGTAGATAAGAATTGGGATTAATTTGATTTTGATAAATTTTGCATTCTTATCGAATTTTAAAATCAAAATATTTCTTTCAGTTGCTTACCTAAACATTGATTAAAAAGAAAGTAGTTAAAAAAAAGAAGTAGGGCACAGCCTCTGCACTCCACTTACACTTCACATCAGGTGGGGTGGGGTAATTAGTTGTGTCTCGTATAAAAAAAAACAGTTGTTAATTGTCCCCAAAACAAAAGGTCTGAGTGCTACCTGAGACAATTGAACTTGACAAGTTTATTATAACTTAATAAAAACACTTCTTCGTTCTATGTATGTACGTAAGACCATTTCCAAATCTTGGTATCCGATTGAATTTATCTTTGCAAACATCTTTAGTTCTGATGACAATACAACATGATATACTCAATACTGTTATAATTTCAATATTCCCGGCGACATTCCAAGATGGCGGTTTTTTTAATAGGGGTACCAAAAGAATGGCCGCAGAGAGCAGAAAACTTTTACGTAACGTAACGTAATTTTTTAAATGTCAACTTTGCTTAACGGTAGCATTCAGATTGTGGGACGCTGGTTCGACTCCAGATCGATCCCTTGGCCTACTTCAATTTTTTTCTAGTGAATATTTTTCTTAAGAATATAAAATCATGCAGTTTAATGCTTAAATAAAAAAACATTGTTTAAAAAATAATAATATCTATTTTCCCGCTACGTCATCTTTTATTGAAGTTTTACACGTCGCTTTTTTTTCTCGACTGCTAAATGTCCTGAAGAGAAGAGAAGAAGATTAACCTATTCCGCCTTATTGCAAAACGCTATTAGTCTTGGTTTTAAACCTTATGCTCTTGTTTTTAACAAACAAAAGTGACATCATCTGTTTCATTCCAGGATTAACTTTAGTCTACGTTTTGTTATAAGGCGGTATGGGACTATTTCAGCAGTAGTCATACTGCCGATTTAAAACAAATGAATGTTATTTTTTTTTATCTGCATTAGTTTGGCCTGTGGTTTGGTTTCAGTTTATGTAACAAGGTTTCCCCTCGTAAGGCACGCCCGAGTATGGGTTGCCTTGACCTGTACGCCATCTTCGATTCGCATGTGAACATGCCGCTATAAGCCAGGCCTTACCAGAGGTGAACCAGCCTTGAAACGCGACTTTTTACAGTACGTTATAATCATTTCCTTTTCGTTTTATAATGAGAACTTAAGTAATTGAGTTGCGTTCTCAGGCTTTATATTGTTGATAAACGGCAGTAGCAGAATTTCGTTCTATTTATAGGTCACGGTTTCTATTTGCAAGGTATTGAAGTTACACCCTCAGCTAGACCTTAAGGTCTGGATATATCTAGATCTATTGCAGCACCTAACCTTTACGCCATGCTATAGATTGTCTGTCCACTTTGGAGTCCGTGTTTCTGTAGGATAGGTATAGTTTTAATAGATTTCAGATGCGAATTGCGAAGATTAAGGAAAGCAAAACTTTGCAAAGGAAATGCTAGCCACTGGATGAGTGATCAAAAGTTGATCATGCCCGATTAGTATGAAGCGAAACTAGCAGACGTTGTAACAGACACATCCAGCAGCGGGACCCTCACAAAACCTGGCAGCTGTTTTGGTTTATCTATTTATTTAAAAGTACAGAAAAGTAATCAATTTGTTTTCACAAGGATACCTAACGCTATTTTAGAGTGGAGCTAAGATGAAATTGGCGTAAAAAGGAGATATAAGCGATATTTCTCATAAAAAGTTATGCTCTTATCTGTGAAACGTGTTTCTAGCCAATGTTTTGGTATTTTTAATTTATTTAAAAGTAAATGTAAGTAATCAAATTGTTCTCACGAGGGCACCTAACACCATTTTCAAGTATAGCTGAGGTGAAATTTGCGATAAAAGACGATTTAATCAATTTTGACCTTTATTCGTATTACGGCTAAGTAATTAAATTCCTATGTGAAAT